TAGGAGCGATAGAGTCTAATGTTGATCGTAGTGAGCCTGTAGCACTATCGACAAGATTATCAATTTCAGAGGGACTAAAGTCGTTATAGGATTCTGTTAAATTCAGACATGGCATTGAATTAAACACTGAAGGAATCTCCTCCTTAAATTTAGCTACAGCACTGTCAGATAGACATCTGCTGTAGGAAGTTTTGCTTAATGGCTTATAATCTAACAACATGAATTCAAAAGTTATTAAATAATGGTCAGATAGGAAAGGATTATGTGGGAAGACTATTAAATGTTCAATATCAATGCCATATGATAAAACAAGGTCAAGAGTGTGATTAAAACAATGAGTTGGTTTATTTACACTCTGACAGAAGCCAATTGAGTCTATTAATGATATAAATGCATTACTAAGGCTGTCATAGGCTGTCTTCTGCTATCCAAGGAGAAACATCAGGCCCTGTAAGGCTAGAGTTCTAGGCTTCACTGTAGATAGTGTACCGATGCAAAATCGCATCAGAGAGGTAATAAAAGCAGCAGGCAGTAGTAATTTCCAAAGAGAACTGCTCTCCTTGCTTAGACATCTTAAATTGGCATGTGTGTTATTCCCCAGGGAAGTTCCCTTATATCCAGGCTTCTGGACCTCTCCGATTTATAGAGAACTCCATGATATGGTGAGCTTGGATGAGGGCTGCAGATCCGAGCCCCAGTCCTGATCTCTTCTGTGTGATAATGGTATGGCATCTCCTTATTTTACAATGAGCAGCTAGAATCATCATTTGCCATTAATTATAAAAAGACGCAGCATATTGAGTACATATAAATGAATCAAACACTGTGTGCCAGTTCACCCTGGGCGCTTTATGTCAACAGCAAGGTCTAATAGTGTGACTGCTATAATCTACTAGATCACTAATGAACAGCTTTGCTGAGCTCAGAAGACAGAGAGCAGACATGAGGGGCAATTTAGGTAAGGGCAATGGATCCACAGTTTTCGGTGTTGTGTACAGACATAATGGAGATATAATTAATTCAAATATACAGTAGTAGTGGCATGATTGACCTGTATGATAACCGCCCTTCCGTAGGTTTTGGGGGGCTATTTTAATAATCAGTGGTTCACAGACATATGGCTAAAATACTGTCATCTTGCCAGCTAATGCCTCTTCTACCTTTTTAATGAATGTACCAATTGTTGTTCTGTGGGGAAAAGACTGGTCAAGGAAACAATCATGTTTTTGCGACAATGAGGCAACTGCCAACATCATTTACAAGGGCGTTCTTCAGTTCCATTCATTAATAGATTATTAAGGCGCCTCACTTGGTTATCTATGTTGGGTAAATTCATTATTAGAGCATCTCATATTCCATGCTTGAATAACAATTGCTGATTTTGTCCTGGTTTGAATTGCAGAATTTCGCCAGCTGTGCCCGGAGGCAGCGCCATCCAGCCTGACTTGCCCCCCATTTTCTCAAACCGTGTTAGACTAAACACAACCATGCAATCCTACAGGCTATCTACTGCTCAGTATATGCGATCCGGCTTAGCTAATCTACATTAAAATAACTCCTCATTCAATTCGCATAGGAGCAGCAACAAATGCAGCATCAGTAGCTCCTGTCTCGACGCTAAGGCTATGGGTAAATGTTCATTATCTGCTTACGAACGATATCTCCTGCCTGAGTGCCCTGTAATTTCCGGCTTAAATTCATCAATGTATAGCAAATTTCTGGTGATATCTCTAGTAAGTATCTTCAACTAGTGTCTGCTTAGACGTATTGGTTTATAGTCCTGCTGGCTCCTCTTACTGGCACTTCCATGTAGCTCATGGAAGGGAGGTTGCCTGGTGTGGTTCTTTGGTGGTCTCTGCTGCAAACATCATGCATGGCGCCTTATTTAAGCTGCTTTAGCCTGCCTGCCTATCTCTGCTGCTTCCTCTACAAGCCTTTTGCATCCACCTCCACCCCAGCTCCTCCTTTTTATGTTGTTTCTAATTAATCAATATAATTTTCTGATTGCCATTGATGCTTGCTCTGTTCTGTACCCTGGGGGGTCTCTGCTGCCGCTCTCCTTGTCTTAAACTTTTCCATGTATGCACATGGAAGGGCAGGGAGGTGTGCTCTCCCTGCCTTAAGGTTTTCCACGTAGGCACGCGGAAGGACAAGGAGGTCCCAGAACAGAGCCATACCGCCAAATGTAAAATTCTGCTTGGGATATAAGATATTTTGACAAAAGTGGTCCTGACTGAACAGAAGTTATGGACACTCAGGACACTTTAGAGCAGGTCTAGACCGAACTCTTTATAACATTATTTACAGAGACCCAACAGTACCACCATGAGCAAGCACTTAGTGACAAGGGCAAGGAAAAACTGCAGAAACCTAGGACAGATCCTTCAGCTCTAGGTGGGTGGTCGTCTTTCTCGACCAGTTGGGGTGAGAGAGAGAGAGAGAGAGAGAGAGAGAGAGAGAGAGAGACAGACAGGTGCACAGCAACAACAGTATTGGTAATGGCAATCTAGCAGGATCATGGCAGGAGGCTCCACCAGGATCGATAAGAACCTGCGAGACGAGAACACTAGTGGTCTGAGGTGTGCCAAGACCAGTCTCTCCATGACCTTCATGATGTGAGAGGTCAGTGCTACCGGCCTGTAGTCCTCCAGTGTCACAGGACGTCCTTTTTTGGGCACTCGGACCAGGCAGGATGTTTTCCAGAGCACGCGAGCGCTGATACGGTCCAGTCCAGCTTTCCTCTGTTTGAGCCTCTCCAGCTCTCTCCTCACCTGGCTGGATGTGATGTGAAGTCCAGATTAGGGGGTGGGGTATGTGGCAGGGTCTGCGATGGTGATGAGGTGGCAGGGAGCTGTGGGAGATGTGAGGATGTCCTGGGGGTGGGAGGTGTGAAAGAGTCCGTAGTGGATGCCAGCGGGGGGGGGTGATGAGGTTGGTGTGGGGCAGGAGATGGTGGGGGGTGGGGGAGTTAGAGTTGAACCTATTGAAGAACTGGTTCAACTCGTTGGCTCGTTCCCCCCAGCTGCCCCCCCTCCCCTCTGAAAGCCGGTGATCTCTTTCATCCCACTCCACACTTCCCTGGAGTTGCTGTCTTCCAGTTTGTCTTCCAGTTTTCTCCTGTAGTTGGCCTTGCTCTCACTGATGATGCGTTTGAGCTCTCTTTGTACCCGTTTGAGTTTTGCTCGGTCCCCTGATCTAAAGGCCCTCTTCTTCTCGTTGAGAAGGGCCTTCAGGTCACTAGTTACCCATGGTTTGTTGTATGGCTAACAGCGGACCTTTTTAGTGGGGATGGTGTTGTCTATGCAGAACCCAATGTATTCAGAGACACAGTCAGTAAGGCCATCAATATGCTCCCTGTGTGGCTCATACAGAGCATCCCAGTCGGTGGCCTCCTGTTCTCCGCGCAGTGTTTCCATGGCCTCGGGAGACCATTTCCTCACTGTCCTCACTGTGACCGGGTGTTGCTGAACCACAGGCTTGTATGATGGTGAGAGCCAGACTAGGTTGTGGTCTGACCTGCACAGTGGTGGCAGGGTAGTGGAGCTGTACGCATCTTTAACATTAACATTTCTAACGAGGGTTAACGATCACACTGCCCCTCATATTACAACATAAAGTCTGACAGACTCAGTAACTATAGTAACACAGTGAAATCAGAGCTGCTGTGTGCTACTCAAAGCTACAATCTTACCAAACAAATTACCATTGCTGCTGAATTACACACACGTACGGTGTCTTCTTCTGATCACAGCTGTATTGATCCACACGGTGAACAGCTACTTAGCTACCCAGCAGATGTGTAAGTTACCAGGTTAAAGACAATTAAACCTAACTGGTGTTATCTTCCCTGTCCTACAAAATACAGACGAACATGTCCCCCGGACATTGCCGTCAAAAATAAAAACAAATCCAGTGGCTCATACATATGTAGATTTGTGTTGGACTGTGCAGCCAATGACTGAACAGTTTGTCTGCTGAAGCCTTTTCCCAGACATTAGGCTGGCAGGCTGCAAGAAGAAAAGAAGAAGTAAACTGCGATGGGTGGCAACATGCAGAAGAAATGACGTCAAAAACTCTGACAATCTGAAATTGAGTGATTTATCTCCTGTATTTTGACTGAGGCAGCCCACAAAAACATGACTGAGTCATTTTTTTTTAACACTTTGCCTGCTGATAGGCCCTCCGGATTCCCAAATGTACATAATCAAACGATTAAAAAGTTGGTTTTGCATAATATGTCCCCTTTAATTATTTCAGAGACTGTGGGATCTATTGAGCTTATTTAGCATAGCATGGAAGTGGTTGCACTCTTTTAGCGTCTTGTCCACATTTCACAGCAGTTTCTAACTCTGAAACTCACTTTTTTATCCCTTCACCCTTGCCCTCAATATGCTAATAACTGTAATCACCCAGGACATGTGGCAAATTTCCTAATGAAGAAGGGGCCATCTCATGTGGTGGTGTACACTCAAGCAACTACAGCTCAAACTCAATTTTCCTTGTTAGCTAAGTGTGAGGGTAGTTCAGAAGATGTCAGAGAAAATATTAATTTACACCTCATTTAGCATGCAAATATATGTATACAATCTAAGCTGTGATTGGCATCATATTCCAAATAACATCCTCATCATCACTGGATTTATTGTTTGTCTTTTGGAATCAGTCTGCGGTGATAAAGAGGCACTACTCTCACTGCAGAATGTAGATATAAGCCCAAGATAATGAGCTGTTGTCTAAATTTGCTTCTGGGTTTATGTTTGGGTCTTTGTGTACTTTGGAATTCAAGAAGTGTCACTATTCTGCTAACATTAGTCATATGTGATAAATATGCTGAAAGTATCGTTGAATTATATGTGGTTAAAGATGCTATTTTTGTCTTTCGCCCTGCATATTTCAATAAAATATGTGGACCTATTGTTCTCACTGTTGTAGGGCCAAAGTAGACCTTTAAATATGACCTTGTTTATTTGGTGTGGTTTACTGGACTTTTATTGTAACAGGTGTCCTGTGACCGTAACCTGATGTGACTTGATGGCGTGCGATGTCCAGGTGATAAAACTCCTGGCACACCGTTATTCTCGCTCTCTCCTCTCTCTTCCCTCTCTTACTCTCTCGCCCACACGGGGTGATAAGTTTTGGACCTGTGTGCTGCCCAGCCCACCACCGACGCACAACAAAATATCAAAGAGCTTGCCTTTTCCTGCGATCCCTGGTCAGCGCACTGTTAATGGGAATCATCATCTGCAGCTTTAAGGAGAAAGTCTGCCAGCTGACTTTACCAGAACAATGCAGAGTTAAGGCTGAGTTGTTAATTCTGCAGAGCCACGCCTTTCTTCCTGCAACCTGCACCAGCGGACATCGCACAGCAGAGACTGTTTTGACTTCATAAACATAACTCTTTCCAGCCTGGCTCAAAGGACCACCAGCCGATCCATGCAGCTCACCGGCAACTCTTCTTCTTCCCTCCTTTGGACCATTGGTAAAGTACTGGGCATAGACAAATAACTAACAGAGTTAACTGCTAAGTAAGGATTGTTTAATTACTGTTAATGTTACTGTACTGACGTGTTTTATTCAGATTATGTTATTGTGTTGTTGATCTGATTAAGGCAGGTTACTGTAGTAACTGTAGTCTTTCAGACAGTGCTAAGGCAATGTAGTTTAATGTTATGCTTCACACAGACACCATCTTTGAACCGTTAATCTAAACACACACACACACACACACACACACACACACACACATTCGGCCTAAATCTAAGCACACACGTGCTTCATACTCAGCTGAAACATCTGGTCAGAGGACAAAGACACACACCTTTTCTGGCGTGCAACCCGCCATGTGCATACACATAGACACACACACACACAACTTTTTCCTCTTATTTAGTCTTATATAGTGTGTATTTTCCTCTGTTTTTCTTTATTATCCCTTTTAATAAATGCTTGTGTTTATACAAGAGTGGATGACACCACAGCCTCTTCTATGCAGAACTCCAAAGCCTTCCACTATTAATAGTGATTTTGGTTATAGTTATTAATTTAATTATTAATCCGATTTCAAAATTAATAGTTTAGTGTATGAGACTGATCAATCAATTATTGGCTATTGTTTCCCTTATTAAAGGGTGGTGCCCCGAGGAACTTTAATATTAATAAAAGTAATTTTCTATTGTTTTTTGATAATCAATAAACTTTGATAGCCAAAATTAATTGGTTACACCAATACAGTTAAACCACTGTTGTACCAACACATGGTACCACTGTGATTTATCATAGCACCTACACTGTACAGACAGGGTGCCGTCAAGAGTTGATGCTTGATTAGGCAACAGGATACATAACTGTCCTACATTGGTGCTCATCAACACAGCAATTTTATCACTTTGGCTCTATGGTTGGCACATCAGTTATCATTACCTTATTGCAAGGTGCTTGTAATTCAAAATCAGCTTGTAGCAACTTAAGCACAATATTGTTTATGTTTAGTTATTCACAGCATTCGATTAAGGTAGGGAGAGATAGTTTGTCAAAAGGCGAGTTTGTTAGTTTCAGTGGAATCTTGTGGTGAAGTTGCAGACTGCAGCCATTTCAATATTGCTCACCTTCCAAGCATGTAGAAGAAACTATGGTGTGAATTATTCCACTTGGATGCATGGCTACATGGCTGTCTCACACATACACACCCTCACATTTTCCCCATAGTTTTCTTTTCTTAAGTCAGAAATTGTGCTTAAACTGTTTAAACAATGTTTAAAATGACTGTATACAGTGGACCAAACTAGATTTTAATTGTCTGACGTCTAAATTTTGTGACACAGAGACACAGTAAACTTCTTGTTGAAGTAGTAGAAGTAAGTAATATAACTATCAACTAATTACTGTTGACACAGAGTAATACATGGTAAATGGACTTGTACTTGTATAGCACTTCTGATTGGACTCTGAGCCACAGTCGTCTATGTAATTGATAACACCTGAGCGTTTCCTGCTGCAGGTCCAACACATTCTCACTCCAAACTTGTCAAATTGGACAAGTCATAATGTCTGTTGTAAAAAAGGTCTGTTGGTTACAAAACAGAACTGTAATGTGATATCATTTCACATTAGAGCACCCCTGAGCAGAGCACTAACTTCAGCAACACGACACCTGTTGATATTAGTTGATATTAATTTTATTTGACCACATTTAATGGTAGATTCTAGGGTCTAGATGCATGTTACAGTTAATGTAACACCTAATATAGTATACATTCAAAACTTTTCCCAGGACAACTGATTTTTTCGGATATGTTGCTGTCTTTGATCACTTCCCCAGAACCTTTCCTTGAGAGCTGTATGAAAGAATCCCAGGGTTTTTCAGAGAGAGCCCTGAGTTACTGGCTAAATGCCAGGACATGAATGATGAAGAAATGTGGTGTGTTTTGTGGAAATGGAAGATGGCAGCATTTTGTAAGCGTTTTCCATGGATCACATAACAATTTCTCCAATGGCTGGCTTGCTGTGTCAACTGAATTGCTCTGCTGTCATACTTCTTATGGGTCTGTAAATAGATTCACTGACACGCTGTCGAGTCTCAGATGTCAGCTTGTCACCACCATCAGCCATCCCCTCTTCAGCTCCACTTGTCTGTCACTTCACTTCCTCTGAGTTTGGAATGCCAGTGAGGGATTTCAGGTGTTTTGGGTTTCATAAAGAGTCAGAGATAGCTATGGAGGTCAGTATGAATCTCCCCATTGTCCTTAATGCACTCTGTATCAACAATGCTCCTGTGGTTAAATTAGGAGAATTAGATGGAAATAAGCTACGCTATGAAATAAACACCCACACACTGCATAGTGGAGGTCACCGGTTGTGTGTTTTCATCTAGTCATGGGGATGTGAGTCTGATAGAACACAAATACACAGCAAAAAGTTGTTCTGAAGTATGAAATGATATGCTTAGTGCAAAGTTACATCCTGCCTTTTTCTGTACAATTGAACATTTTGACTTTGATCTCAGTTAATTTGTCCTTCACTTCAAATCTTACCATTCCAAAGTCTGAATATATGAAATGAAAGATGATAATTATTACTAAAAGAGCGTCAGTCAGATTATAATAATACACCTAATCAATGTCTTTTGATACAGTTTTTAATAATCACCACTTGTGATCTATATTTAGCTTCACCCAGCCTTTTACAGGTTGCACTGCTGAACATACATGGACCAAATTAGAAGGTGTGCATGGAGATGCCCATACAGTCTGTGCGCCTATAAGACCACCTTGCGCTTGACATTAAGGGTGCAAATTATTAAACTCAGGGTGTAGTGCATGTTTTTGCACCCTTGTAAAACGTATAGTTACTGACCAACACTGTTGCTGACAGTACTGAACACACACAGCTGAACTGCTATTAATCCCAGAGAACCTATGACACACATCAGTCAGTGTTGAGTTGAAAAAGGAGGAGAGTTGTATCTTCATTACATTTAGATTGCTGGTGAGAGAGGCAGACAGATACAAAGAGAGAGCCTGTGGATGATGCCAGCTAACCTTAAGCAGGTATCCTTTCTCATTTACTCTAGATTTACTTCAGCTCAGTCTGCCAGGAGCCCAGCCATAGAGAAATGACTCAAGCTCAATACATAGCTAAGAATCACAGTACAAAATATGTCTATTTTTGAGTCCCCTCTCTTTAAAACAAGTTAAACATAATCTTCCATTGGATAGATTATTTTAACAAATCAATCATCATGTTTCAGATTTGGATCAAAACAAAAACTGATACATTTTAGTATTGCTGTTTATTTCCTTTTATGATAGACAGTAATTAGCTCCATAGTCTTTGGTTCCAATAATTAAAATCACACCAGCTGACAAATATGTCATGTCTGGTCATCACCATTTACTATAAAGCCAACAGGCAGGGAATGTTTGACAATGACATGACTCCGGGCATAAGTAAAATGGTTAATATACAATTAAAAGGTTGTTACAGTTCATGGTTTTCAAAGGGTGTCATCAACTCAAAACAAGACACAGTGGCCAAAGGGGTTAATCTTTTTTTAAAAGATTGAAAACTGATATCCTGAGCAATGACTGTATACAAGCACACAACTACTGCATGTCACCCCCCTAATGACTTTGGATTTATTCTACAATGCAGTTTTTTTAAACTATCTAATTGTTTCCACCAAGTTTTAGCCACAAAAGCTAGGAGAGAGTCCTTAGTCTCAATTGAGCAAAGCATTTAGTTTGTCTACAATGTCCCTGATTCACATATGGCCAAGCACATTGGGGCATGCACTTCCCAATCTCTCTATCCCTATTTGTCATATAGGCCTCCCAGTAATGGCATCAAATGCCCAAAAATAATAGATTAATTAAACAAAATAATGTAGACCACAGTACAAACATGAAGGAGACTGTCCTTAGCAGAAAGATTACATTGAGAGCCAGTGTTTTGTTTATCTACTGTAGAAACACATAGATCAAGATATGTCATTCTAAGGTAACAAAAACATAATGATTCTTATTTCTAGGTGATTATACATCAATGAAAACATAGCTATGAATATTATATTCAATTTCTGACAATAGATCATCCTAACTGTAACACACTGGACCTTTAAATACTTAAAATTACCTATGTTGTGATCTTTGTGTCCTTTTGAATAAAGACTCTAGAGCTAAAGCATATCAAATAGTTTTTACCAGAGATCATAGTTTGCATCTGCAGTCTGTGGTTTTCCTTCCATCCTAAGCCCTTTTCAGACATACTGTGTATGTACTGTGTAACATTGCTTACTTCATCTATCAATTAAAGTAGTGGCTTTATGTGTTCTAAGTGTCCTTTACATAAATGTTCTGTAATGGCTTTATGCAGCCATGACATGAATGCAGAAAGAGCTGCAATGGTGGCACGGTGTTTGGCACCTGGGCCGCAAGATGGATTCACAGTTGAGAAGATGATAATTAAGTGATACATTTATTACAGTGCTCTTAGAAAGTAAGTACATGCATTTAATCTCTCTGTGTATTTGACCTTGTGCTGCTGTAGCCTTTATGATAATCTGATGGCATTCACTTCAGACTTGCCCAGTGCTGGAGGTTTTACAGAAGTTTTACTATAGGATTTAGACTTAAAAGTAACTTGCATAGTGAGAGTAGACATGTAGAGTTGCAATTACATTTATTAACAGGGTTCATGTCTGAAACTGTACCCCTAGAGGTGACAGATCAGAAAACAATTGCTTTTGTAAAAGCATTATGGGTTGTTTATCTAGCTGTAGGTTTGAGGATATGTTGGTATGAAGACATTTGAGTTGAAACAACAAGCTTGATTTGTAGTGGAAAAGGTGGACACATTATAATCTCACTGGCAGATTCTTTAATTTAAGAAATAACACTTGTACTTGAGTTTAATCTTGGATATTGGAGCTTTTTCGGTGTAAAAGTAGGAAGAAAATCAACAGCACCACTTTTAGATTCTCCCATAAGATGCTTCTACATTACTCCATTTCCCCCTTCCACTGCTCTATTCCTCATGAGAGTGCTCTCTTTTCCATCACTCTATTTGAAGAATTGTGAACTTAAAAAGCACCCATGTATGTCAGTGTCCGGTGGGGGCCGTCACAGTTACGTAGGAGCATGGACGAAGACATGATAGAAGCCCCCAGTTAGGCTGTTTTTAATTTCTTTGGGGAATCCGGACTCAAGCAAGGGGTATATTTTAAACGTGCCTTCTCCCCCATTTCTGTCTCTGTAGTGCAGATGACTTTGGTCATGTGGTGAGGGGAGTTGGGAGGAATGGTCCTGAAAATGGCATCCATCTGTAGTCCCTGCTGGGAGTGTAAGTAGAATAGTAAGCAGTGGGACAGTGAGAGGATTGCCAGGGATGGTGATGGAGGACAGTGTGACTCCCCAGCTGATCAGTGTCCTCGCTGTACTCTCCACCAACTATGCTCGTGTGGTTCAATT